CCCCCCCCCCCCCCCCCTTTTTTTTTTTTTTTTTCTTTTTTCTCTTTATTCTCTTTCTTATTCTTTTTAAAATAGTTTTCAGCTGAGGTCTAGCACTCTTTATAGTTACTTGTAGTTTGCAAGGGAATAGAAGCAGCTGCCTATTTAACTAAAGTTGTGAATTCTTGGAATACAATTGGACTTACTTTTTCCTGAGGTTGCCCTGTATCATTGACTTAGTCGAGGTGATGGAAGCATATATATATATCTGTGATTTAGGAGTTTTTATACAGCAGTGGAATCCTCTGAAGGATCTGTGCGTTTTCAATGGTTTTGTGTGACTGGAGTGGCACAGATGCAGGAGATGTGGGCACACAATTAATACTGGTGCCAAGAATTCCCAGATTATCACATGCTACTGCAAAGAAGCACGCAAATACTCCTGGTCAATAGAATATGCAGGTACAGCTGGTCACTGTTGGGAGTCTCCACTGGCTGCACATATGCAACATAGGTTAACAACTTAATTTCCAGTACAAAGCATATTAGTTCCTTGAGCAATGAAACAATAATTTCTGGTTTTCCACATTTCAAGTTAATTTTTAATTTGAAATTGTTAAAAATAAGCATGACTTCTGTATTCAGGTTTGAAAAACCTCTCACCTGTAAACACTTTCTGCTTTTAATGGCTTTAGACAGAGCCTTGCTTTCATCTTTTTATTCATCAGTTTAAAAGATTCTCAGTTACAGAATCTTTTTCTACGTTTGTTTGCTACACATTCTTCAGCCTTAGGTAGAGAACAATATTTTTTGCATCCACATATAAATTCTCTCTATTATTCTTACTGTATAGCAAGGCCACCTAAGGGAAATTGTGGGGTGAGCAGGGCAGCTTGCTGTAGGATCCCAGTTTTGAGAGATGAAACGTATGGTCTCACCTTGTTATATTACAATACACATGCAGAGATGGGCGCAGATTTCACATTGCCTGTAGGGCCCTGAAATTTCTGTTCACCCTTGCTCCAGGCTGCTTTTTTTCACTTGTTTCCTTTCTCAGCTCCCAAATATCTTGTGTTTCAAGTTACCTTTTGAAATGCTGGAGTTTCAACCCCAAGCCCCACAGGTTGACATAAGGGTGATTCCCACAGCCCTTCACAAAGAGGGGGTGAGTTACCTCTAAGCTTCCCTCCAGGGTGGTGCCGGCCTTGCAGGGAGAGCCATTAGGTAAATGAGCCCCAGGTGTCCCGAATGAAGTAAGCAAAGGTCAGGTGTCCCACTTGGGAATAAAAGCTGGGACCCCTTGCAGGAAGGGGCAGTGTCTGTCTGTGGGGTGGATGCACTTTGCAGAGTTTCCTGTTGGGGAAGGACCTCCTGCCTCCCTGGGACTGGGCTCCAGTCAGGTCTGGCTTTTGTAAGTGTGAGCTGTGTAGAGATTCAGTATGTGGCTTCCTTGGTCTCATGTATTTGGCTTGTTGATTGGGTTGTCTCCTGTCCCTTCTGTGGGAAGCTGCATTTCACCATTTATTCCACCCGTTGTTTGATTGTGTGGTGTCTTTGTTGGGATCAGTGGGATTGATGTCAATTATGTATAATCTGACTGACTTGTTTGTACCCCCAGTGCTCACCCATGTACTGACCCTTTTCTATCAAGTACAATTTGGTTATTGGTTCATCTTTATGCTGGCTGTGTCCTTTATGCTATGCCTAATAATTGGCAAAACACCTTCTCAGTGTGCTATTTCTGACCAATGATGCACATTCATATTATCTGTTGTTTAACCCCCTAATGTATCCACAGCTACTATCCTGTACTCATAGAACTTAGAAGGAACATCATGCGTTAGCTTTCCCTGAGAGATATCATTGTTCCCACATCTGCGGTCCTTACCACAAATGGTGGAGGACATGCCCAAGCCTAAATTTTTTTATCACTTGATGTCCCCACACCCAGAGCTATGCCATGCTATCAGTTGAGTCAATGCAGTAAACAATGGGAAACTAGGGAGAGCATATGGATTTGGCCCCTAGTGCTGGCTGTTCTGTGAAAGAACTGAAATGTTCTTAGACCCCCTCAAAATTGTCTCATTGTTAAAAATTCTGTTTCTCATCCTGACTGTTATATTGACATATAGTTTTACAACTATACTAGGGTAAAAAAAATCACTAGTTAGTATAAATTTTGTTTGTGTCTGTGTAATTAAAAATGCATATTTATAGTACAGATTTGGACTTTGGCTAGGCTATTGCTTGAAGTATCTCTCCATTACCATGTAATTTGAAATATTCTGTTGTCATGATTGATCCTCACTTAGTTTGATGTCATGCTATTGCTGGGTTATTTACCTGGGGTGGTGTACTCTTTGGATGCTGTCTATATTGCTATTAAAAACTAGTAAACTTGTTTCATGCTTAGAGGAAGCACTAGCTAGAGGTTCTTAATTTAAAACTGAATTAATCTCTCAGGCTTATCATACTGTAGTTTTTCTAGTTTTCTTTCTAGCCTGTAAATCTCCACACTGATCTCTGCAAAAAATATCCGTTTGTTAGATCTCAAACAGGGTTGACATCTTTCAGAATGAATATATTGACTGTTGACTCAGAGTATACTTTGAAAAGTCATTCTAAACATTAGTATACAAAACATGATTTTTTTTCCGTATAGAGGCCTTGGGCCCCTTCCTGGAAGAATTAAAAATATGCAGGAAGTGGATAGGTCATCACTCTTGGTCACTTCATTTGCATCTTCATTTAAAGAACTATTTTTCTCATGGGAATAGGCTGATTATAAGCATTTCTCAAGATATATTACTTCCAAGCCATGTCAGATCTATTCTTGATTCCCTAATCTGTTTTTGATAACTGGCAGAAATATAACTGAGCTTCACAATGCAACTCCCAAAGCTCCACTCAGTGAATCTTCTGCTGATGTCATCCCACTGATTTAACACAGATTTCTTAGTTTTTGTGTCTGTCTTGTGTCCATATAGCCCACGTACCCTCCCTGTCTCACTGCCATTGCACTCTGCAAACCAGATCCCTTCTACCACTTCCCTAAAACTGTTCATGGGCTTCTCAGATTTCTCCTTTCTCAGATCCTTTCACCCTCCCTACACCTTCTAGCATATCCTCACCTACCTTTAACTTCCTCTAACATTCATGGCAGTTCTGCCTGGGCAAATAAAATGTAAGTTCAAACCTACATATAATACTCTCTGCCAGGCCTCTGCATTATGTAAATGATAATAGAGTTATTCGTGCACTTCCCTTAGTGACAGATCCAAAACAGTATTCTCTTCTGTACCTTGCCGGCAATTTTCTCTAACTTGGTTAAAACATATTAACTTGGAGCAGCCTGGCACTCAGCTAAAGCAGGATGAAATGGTCTTACAGGCTCAAGATTTGTTGAGGCTGAGAATGAGAATTATGTAATTGTGTAAATCTAATTTCCAGAGGAAGGCAAGTTAAAACCCACAGTAAAATGTACTGAGCTTTCACAAAATCACTTTTGGATATCCCTGTGCACTCAGTGTCCATTCTCTGAAAACAGGCTTGTAAGAACAGGATAGGTTTTGTGAACAAAGAGGTCTTACAGAGAAAAATACCTTCTCTGAAAATTGAGACTCGTAAGAACAGAATAGGTTTTGTGAAAAAGAGGTCTTATGGAGAAAAATACCTACAACAACTTTTTATAGTCTGGGAAAATTAGTATGCCTCCTGCATACAACTGCAGTGTGGCATGGGAAAGAATTAGTTTGGCTTATCAATATTTCCTTTTTATTTAGTAAATAAAATGTAATGTAAATATTTATGCAGAGAAAGAACATTCAGGACAGTTATTTAAATAAACAGATATCACTTGTATTATTTTCACTGAGAAAAACGGAGCAAAAACCCCCCAAACCTCAGTGAAAATAAAAATAGGAAGACTTAAATACCCTTTTGCATACATCCTTTACATGCAGTAGAAAACATTATCCATCTATCAAAACAATTTACAGGAATGACAAAAACGTGTCATAAGTTGTATGAGCAAGACATGGTATATAGCAGGTACAGAATTTTGCTTTAGAAAGGCTATATAGAGCTTATGTTTTCTGGAACACTCATAAAAATTTA